GTTTAAATATTCGTTCAAAGTGTAATTTAATCATATGGGATGAATGTACGATGGCCCATCGAAAAGGAGTAGAAGCGGTAGACAGAACTTTAATGGATATAAGACAAAATGATAGACCAATGGGCGTTATCACAGTTTTATTTTGTGGTGATTTCCGACAAACCTTACCGGTAATACCACGGGGAACCCGAGCTGATGAGGTAAGGGCTTGCCTGAAAAGCTCTTATTTGTGGCGTGATATACAATAGGTGCATTTGACTATAAACATGCGAGTGAGAACTGTAGATAACCCGGATGATCGTGAATTTTCTGATATATTATTAAAGAAAATACCTTCACCAAAGATACCTATCCACTGCTACACCAAGGAAAACTTATTCTGACGCCTGAGTTGTGTTGTATAGTGCAATCCCAACAACATATAACATCGTCAGTTTACGGTGACGTAACAAATATATTAAATAAGGATAATTCTTGGCTATGCGAAAGGTCCATTTTAACTCCTCGCAATGACCAGGCATCTGAGATTAATAATAAAATACTGTCGAATATCCAGGGGGAAAGCAAAGTTTATAGTTCAATAAATAGAATGGCCGATGAACAAGAAGCCACTAACTACCCGATAGAATTTTTAAATTCTTTAAATATGCTCGGACTTCCTTCTCATGAAATTTGTTTAAAAATTGGCATTCCGATTATTCTGCTCCGAAATTTAAGACCACCACAAATTTGCAATGGAACTCGGCTTAAAGTAACCCAGTTGCAACAAAATGTAATCGAGGCTCAAATTTTAACAGGTTGCGGTGCAGGAGAAACCATCTTTATTCCCAGAATTCCCATAATACCAAATAATTTTCCATTCCAATTTATAGAACGCAATTCCCAGTATCGGTGTGTTATGCAATGACAATAAATAAGGCTCAAGGGCAGACTATTCGTGTTGCTGGAGTAGATCTCGGTGTCTGTAGTTGCTTTTCACATGGTCAGTTATGTCGCTCTTTCCCGGGTTAGCAGTCCTAGAAATTTTTATGTTCACGTGCCGGATGGGTCAACTTTCAACGTAGTTTACCCGGAAGCTTTGCGCTGAAGTATTTTCATTCTATATGTACCTAAGCCTCATGTGAAAGCGATCTAAATAATATTACCAATACATTAACATAATAACATACACGGAGTTACATGCTGATGGTCTCGGGGCACAGTGATAATAATAATATTCTGCGGTTCCTTATTGCGATATTTTTAACAGTATTGTGGATTGACATATTATATTTCCCTACTAAAATACGAAAGTTAATCTGTCTGTCACATCAAAACCACGGAACCCTGAGGAAGGACATATGCTACTTTTTTACGAAAAACGACGAAAACGCGGACGAAGTCGCGGGCAAAAGCTAGTATATAAATATGATGACTCGTAAGGCTTTGTCTCGTCAGGAGGAATCTAAACTTCAACTGACTTTGAGAGAACTCAAAGCTTCTAAGGATTTATGCGACCAACTACACAAGGAACGGGATGACAATGAGAGGGAATTAATAGAAATTTTAGATAAAAATCAAAAGTTAAAGAACGAAATGGCAGAACTGCACAAACAGTGTATTGATACTATTGAAGCTCGGGATAGGCTCCAATTCATCGTAGATGGCTTTGATCAATGTAGAAGTGAGTATGACCAAGCATTACAGCGTATTTACATGTTGGAAAAGCAACTACATGACGCAAAAAACACAATATCACTATTAGAAATGTCAAAACATCGCAAAATTTTTTGATGTGTGTATGTTATATCAATCTCGCCGATAAATTTTGCAAATATTTGATTTTTTTTCTTCCTCTTCCCCATCGTGTGTCCTTTAAAATTACTTAGGACTTAATCGAAAAATATTCTTACTATTTTCCGTTTGCGAAATACTAAACTTTAAAGTGCTAATTTCTGTCCACCCCCTTCAATCTAATAGTACTTCAACCCCTAAATTCACACTGCCCATTTTAATTCACAATCGCCATCTAGCGGCACTTGTTAACCGTATCAAGCATAAAATGCGGTTAAGTAACATAAAAATGCATTATTTAACCGCATGTTTAAAATCGTTAATAACCGTCTTCGCGTATATAGATATGTATAATATTATTCTAGTAGAATCAATAGATTATTGCGATTTTCGATTATTATATTCAGATCTTTATGACCCTAATTATAAAATAGATAGTACAGAAGGTAAGGTCATTTATGTACTTCACTTTTCATACCTAAGCTCGGCGGTCGCGCCAGGTTTGCCAACTTTGACTAGTGTACAAAACATACGTGGTAATCGTACTTATTCGTATGTAATTGTATGACTTATTGTTGAGAATGAAAAAGGAGGAATGCAAATATAAACCAATAATAACTAAAGTATTTAAATTTAATGTTATTGTATAAGGCACAAACAAAAAATCTGACAAATCAGCCATATAAATATAATTCAAACAACTGTTTATACAAAAAAATATTTGTTACTCCAATTTTGCACTCACATACGCGTGGCTCAAGCGGTCCAAGGTATCGTGACCGTGAGCCGTATCTATGCGTGCGTTGCTCGAGCGCACTTTCTTTGTAGATTAGATGTAGGCCTTCTGTACTATTTTGTGCCCTAATCGTGATAATTTAACGTAAATATTACGCGTATTTGGATTTTACCGATGACTCATCGGCTTTGGTACTATCACATTTTCAAACAATACCGCGTTCTAAAACATGTGTAAAGTAATGTTTATGGATATGACTTAACTTCGGGCTTTGAACGTTGAATTAACGCGAACGGGGCCCAGGAATCGGTCAAATCGTCCTGTTAAATTATTCACTGGTGAGTCGGGTGTCGATCGATTCCTCCTGCTGCAAAAGGTTTCCTTTATTTTTAGATCGGCATTTGTAAAAAGGGCAGATGGAAATGTGAAAAGTCTCTAATTTTTTTCAATCGAATGAAACCGCAAACCCTACTATGATACCCAAAAAAGATAACGATTCATTCATATTGTGAATATTTCGTGTGCCTTTTTAAGAGTTCTGAAGTCACCATGGAATTTCGATATCCATGTTGTATGTATGTTTTGCTATGTCCGTCCGACCGTGTTTCTGCAAGTTAGCGTACTAGAATGCTGTAATTTGGCATGGATGACATAATAACGTTTTTAGGGTAGCTGTCCTATGCGTAAAGTGGAGTGTTTTTTTATCGTTGTTGTGTAAGGTATTGTTGGATAGATTGGTTGAAACGAAGTTAACACCCATCTCAATTAAAGTTTATATGCCACTACCGCTTTACTCAATGGTCCTTTTGCTTATTTCCATGCCTAACAATCATGCGTTCGGACTTTTGTAGTTCATCAATCTGATACGGACGTACCACAATGTGAAGCCACTACGTTTGTTCTCGCCTATGATCTCACCTTTGATCTGAGTATTTAAGTAATTTAGAGAGCGCTGTGTCGATCAGTGGTCGAGCAATTACGCCTGAGAGAATCAGGATTCACATCTGCAGGTGAAGGAGCAGATGTGAATCCTGATCAACATCTTTTCTTTAGATTCAAACATTGACGACCTCCGTGGCCGAGTGGTTTGAACGCCGGGTTTCATGGTGTCGCCGACTCGAGAGGTCCCGGGTTCAAATCCCGGTGGGGGCAGATGTTTGTGTGATGAACACGAGCATTTGTACTCCAGTCATGGATGTTTAATATATATGTTTATATAAATATACTTTATATATGTACTGTATATGTATTCTATCCGTTACCCTAGTCTCCCCTATAACAAGCCTTACAGTGCTTACTTTGGTCTAGGCTAATTGGTGTGAGTGTTGGAAATATTTATTTGTTTATCTATTTTTTTTTTAGTTTTATACATCTAAGTAACATTCAGTAGTTTATTACTTGCCTCAAATAAAAATATAATAATCGAACATTTTCTGCGGCTGCAGTCTTAATTTAGTAAACAAAAGTCTTCAGGCAATCCTCCTTATTAAGTGGGTAACACTTTCTGCTATACTCTATTCACGGAAACATGTAACTCAATCAATTTCTTTATCGAAGAATCGTTAACAAAAAACAAGGATGGAAAACGCCATAACAGGAGATGAGAGAGGATGGCACTGGCAAGAGTAAAGACCACAATACAATACGGCCGATGACAGAGAAGCCTTGCTTTCATCAGTAAATCAGTCAGTAATCTTGTTTCTGTAAATAAAGTAATCAAATGCACCATACAACTTGATCATTGTATATTATAACACAGGATTATCATTTAACCAATGGAAACCGAAACTCAATAAATTAACCCGAGACATTTTGTCGTGCCCTAATTCCTCTCATATATTGGATTATCAAAACTGCTCTAAAAGTGGAGGGCTTATGAAAATTTATATCTTCCTGTCTAAACTCTGTTTTAACACTCCCACTTAACGATGCCACATTTGGCAGATTATAGTTAAATTTATTGTCCTGAATCGGCAATAACAGTTGTTGCAATGTGTTCTCGGTGCATAGTTACCGATCCTAGTATCCTGTTAATTGGTTACACTCTGACTACACCACGACTACACTACCACTCTATATTTGTCTTTTGTAATAATAAAAATCGGTAAAGCGCAAGTCAAGTTACTATTGTGGAAAAAACCCTCTAAAACATGACGTATCTTTAAAAATACGAAATTCTGAAAATAGGATACATTATTTGCTTTTGAAGTTACGTATAAATCAATTCTGCTACATCTCTGAATATTCCAGAGCAATATTCAAAGTGAATCGTGATGTCATTTGAAAAGTTCCGATAGTCCCCCATGTGTAAACGTTACAATAAAGCCGAATAATAGCCAGCGCAGATAAAACTTGTACAACATTTAATCGGCCAAAGTTCTCGGCTCAGAGTACAAAAATTAGCACCCCCGCGGGCATTTTACCACGCGGCTGCCTGGTAAAAAAGTATCTTGTTTTGTAAAATAACAGCAGGCAGGTTTTATATATGTATGTACTTACAGAAAAAGTTTACAATAACGAATGATAGGTACCTAAGCAAATATATCAGAAGATAGATTACGCAACAATGCATCAGTAATACTTGTTCTGCTATCAAAATAAATAATTACTAAAACTAGTAGTACTTCATAATAATTATGAGAATGAGACGAATAAATTAAATTAACGAGAACGAAAATCAAGAACAGGAATTTAGATTAATCATTTGTTGTAACTGCTAAGCTGAATATCTGTGTAATTACGTATCTTTAAACAGTAAATCTAATCCAAACATCACCATCTTATTATTACACAAAATTCCATAACCGGTGCGCTTAAAAATTTTAAAAATTAAAACTAGACTTTTCTTTTTATAAATATTACCTACTGCTCCTCTTATTAATTGACAGAAATGTCCACAGTTAATAAAAGTACCAAGCAAACTACTTGTTTGCATATAAAATGGCCTCCGGTGTTATTTTTCCACGGCACCGGCAAACATTAAAATGCTAATGGCGGCATGTGCACAACCCCTCACAAGCGCCGTCCTTTGATGCACTTTAATGTGGACTTTCATGAGCTCATTTAGGTTAGTTACTGACGTCATATCGGTGTTAACACGAGTTATGGTGTAAAAAGACTTTTAATTTTCAAAAATGAGTAATACTTGCGTTGTACAAAAAACTTTATAAGAAAGTAAATCTCATTCTAATATTATAAAGATAAAAGTACCTCACATTTTGTTGCGTAAATAGGTCCGCACGTTAAATCAAAGTCAATGTAAGAAAATATATTTTCAATTCTTTCTGTGCTTGCTGTTACGGCTCCCCGAAGTTGGCTCATCTTTCTCCAAAAGTTCTTCATCAATCAACAAATCGAAATTACCTAATGCTTCGGCACTTGGCAATTTATTCCATCGCACATCTGGTACCCCATCCGGGGGAAGCACGACGGATATTATATTGTCAATTAACTTGTACTTTAAGATTCTATCATTTACTGTCGTCGATGTCAGCGAAGGTGAAGCGTTCACTTCAACTAGCCACGGTTTCAATTGGTTGTCTATAATGATATCGTAGCCGTAACACTCGAAACAATGTCTGTCGTTTGCCATAACAGAAGCTACAGCTTTCAACGAGTGAACAATTAGCCACTGCATCGCTGCGAACAATTTCTCTGTAACAGCTCTTCCACGACTTCCCTCTAAAAATAGACGCAGGTTCTGCACACTCATTTTCCCCCCGTGGATACTGTTGTAGTCACCTCCATGCTTTTGCACGCTAACATTCGTCAGGTGTACGTACATATTGTCTAACTCGGTTACACTCGTATCGTATTTCACGGTGCAAAACCTACAAAAGCCGAGTTGGAACAGATAAGCCTTTAGGGGTCTAAATGAAGTTACCAACACGTAGAGTCTCAGATCGAACTTTTTGCCCCCTATTAGTAGAGGATTGTCTATGTAACGGGAAATCACGTAGCTTTCTTTGCTCAGTTGCGGGTGAAAGGGAGTTTTCGCCTCACGGGACCATTTCTTCAGCTTCGATAGTTTGTTTATAAGAAAAATTCCCGTACCTTGGGATTTCCCACACGGCTTCATAATCCAAGTACTCTGTGGAGATTTTCGATATTCCTCGACGAACATGTTGTAGTCCGCTGGTAGAACAAAAGTGATAGGTACGAAATCCAAATGCACGTACCTAGTAACGACCTGCCCACCGTGTAGAACAACTTCAGCCTTCTCTGCTAAAGGACTACCTTCCCTTTCTAATTCCTTTCTATACCTTTTTATGTTTTTTACTAGTAAATCTTTTCTCGAGAGCTCGTAATGGTTCGGAAAGTGATTGATCATTTGGTTATCATTCATGCGGTAGCCACTCTCGACACTAAAAAGGTTTCTACACGTCTGTGTGGAAGCCCAGTAGAAGTTCCACTCGTCATCGGGCCCAACTTGATTCCAGCCACGTCTCTCGAAATTGCTCATCAGTACGGACTTTTCTAAGTCCGTGCAAAAGTTTACGCGACATCTTTCAACAGCGGGCGCGTTAACTCTTCCATAAATGCTATTCGATATTTTCTTCGCGTCCTGATTCATTGTGGTACAGGTTTATGATAGCTTGATGTATTGACCAAACATTTACGGCACAGGTGCGTACCGTTGTCATGGCGTTCTACAAATATAGCCAGCTATTGGCGGATATCCAATCTCGTTTCATTTCGCTATGACTACGTGCAAACATTCATCTTTATTGATTTTAACCATTTTTTTTATCGAGGCAGTGATTGGAAACTTTTGATGGAGTGTTAAAGAAACACTGGTCTATCTCTTTTCGTTCGTTAGTTGTGTAAACTGATGGAACTGGTGTCGCTGTACGTAAAATTCTATTTGGCCAAGCGATTCCATGTCTCTATGTCGAGCTTTGGAATCAGAAAACATAAAATGAGTCATTAGGCCTCGTTGTTTCATCGATAGTTAAATTTGACTATAGTTGATGTCATTTCAAATACCTAATTAATATGCCTTTTGACAAAACATTATTAACTAGTAGAAACTAATTGACTACCGGAGGACAAAATCTACAAATCTCCTTAATAGCTATGTTTAACGCAAACACAGAAACTACGAACGAAGGAAAACACGAAAGAATTGAGATCATTTAGTAGCTACTGTGAAAAATACTTTGCGAATTATGCGAGAACTAAATGTACTCTCAGATTGTCTCGAGTAGGTACTGAAGTGAATAAGACAAAGACCCAATTCTTTATTCTTCGCTATTAAGTGAAGAACACACATGTGCTGAATCGTTGCTGTCTGCCAGACAAGATAAACAACACAATAATGTAGGATTGGACGTTCCTAGAAAACAGCAGATGTAAATAGTGAAATGAGCTGTGTAACGAAACATTCTTTTGTTTTATAAATTCTATACTGGTGTTTTCTTGCTCCTTTTTCTGGTTTTACGATGTTTACTTGTCTGAAAAGAGCTTATTTCTCGTGTAACATGGGTTGGGTTACATACCTGATCATAAAATAAGAATTACCGAATAAATTTTATATGTTCTTTCTTATTACAACACGGATTTTTTAATCATTTTCATACAAACAAATTTGCTCTGCTAAATCTTGTCTGAAAATAGGATTACTAAACTAAGTGTCGGTACATATCTGACCGAAAATACGTCGCGTATTATCAGTAGCGTAACGCCAGAACAGGCAAATATACAATAAAACATTCAACCTTCCACCTCAGACCAAATAAAAAGTAAAGACGGAGTCTGCCGAACCAAAAAGTGAAGCCGGTTTTTTATGTATGTAGTGCATTAGCCAGTGTTACCATAGTCATATAAAACACCCCAATATTAGAAAAATATAATAACGTTATTTCATAACGTTATTACATTTTTAATAACGTTATAAAATATTAGAAAAAAATATCGTAAGCTTATTCTCTAAACCTCTCGTGAGCCAAAGGTCATACGCCGTTCTCACCTACAAGTGCCGGACTTCTTTATGGACCGCCCGCCCGCTGGGTGGGAACGATTGCATTGTTCTGCCGATTTCTCTGTTATTTTGTAAAAATACCATTCACAAACGTATATTTGGATTCTCCATAAAATTTTCAATAAAACAGTGTGTACACAATGCGTCATGTCTATAATTTATTTTAAATACATTATGGTAAACTCAGGAAAGATAATAAAAAATCGTTTAAATAGGTAAAATGAGGTGTATTTTCAAAATTTGTAAATTATAAATCCAGGTTTTTGTACATATAGAATGTACTATATATGAATGAATGTATATAATAACTTACCAAATACAATTATAAAATATAACACGCAACAGAAAAAAAAGGGTCGTGTTGCAAGTGTTGATAAAAACAAATGCGAGATCCAAGTGCCTTGATTTATGTGTTGACGTTTAATTATGTTGGATTGATTATTTTACTTTAGTTACAAGTCTCGGATGGAATAGGTTTGTTCATTTTATAGTTTTAAGCACTCGCAACAAGGCACTTGAAATCGCTTACAAATCAGTCATCTCAACTTTATGTCGATAAAACGAAAAGCATATACAAATGTTGATAAACAGTTTCTTTTATTAAAATGTACATGACATTTTCTATAGAATACACAAAATATAATCACTAGTTCCTATACAAGAACATAATAAAATAAATCCACAAACATCGCGAATTTGGGTCAAAAAGGCCATTAAAAAGTACAATACAAATAAAATTACAAATATATTATTATTTTACAAATCGTCGCTCTGAAAATGAGTCGAACAAACCACGCTGCGGGAAGCTGGTTGCCACAATGGTGCATTTCTACTCTTACGAATGACTGCAATCCACTTCTCTTTTAGATCTTGATCTCGATTAGGAAATCTTAAAAAGAACGTATATTAAATAATGTGTATTACATCCCAAAAAATTTATACGAATACATAAAGAAAAAAGATGTTTCGTGTAATTGTATATCCATGCATTACAATATTCGAATAATATAAAAGTATGCCACACAATGTATATAATAAAATAACGTTACGTTATATTTCACGCTACCCAACAAAAGGGTAAAACTGTAACGAATAATCATGGCAACATTTCGTTCAGGTTTTGTTTACAAAGCGACAACCTCAAATTTGATTTTGATTAATTGAAAATAGCAGTTTATAACTTTACTTACGTATGAAATGTGATTCCATCCTGTTTTTTATTCTTGGAAGATTGGTTTTTACACGTTTTCACTACACAATTCGGCATTTTCTCTAATAAATATTGTTATTTATTATTACGTCACACTCCGCGCGTCGGGATAACTCGACTGAGAAGCCAAGGCGTAGTTTCGTTGCATGTGTGTGCGTGTAACTGTGTATGTACACGGCGAGGCGTAGTTTTATCGGCTTCACTTTTTGGTTCGGCAGACTCCGTCTATACTTTTTATTTGGTCTGAGCCTTCCACACCCAACCGAAGATGCGTTAGTGCGTCGAGCGTACAACGATGATACGATCGACGCATTTTCCGTTAGATATGTATCGACCCTAAAACCATTCTATAACTTGCCCAGATAGGACAGTGGGACCTAATGATGACTCCATATGCAGCCGGGGACATCGACTTTACAATGTACCTACGTACATAAATGAAGCTTTTGGTTTTTTGGAAACTGAGAAGTTTTGCTTGTGTAAAAGAAATTGGTGAAGACATTATCTCGTTGGCAAAGGTTTAAGAAACAAAAATCTGTTAGGATTTTACTATTGAAAAGAAAGTGACAATATTCATATATATTTCAGTCAAAACGTTATTATTTTGCGAATGCATTGTGTTCTTTATTTAGTAACTTTATATAAATAAAACTATGAAGAGAAAGGTTAGCTGCCTTTTAGCAACCTTTTTTTAATCCTAGCTTACAGCTCAAAATAAAGGCGATGCAACGAGCTCAGGGAAATCCGACACTACACTTGTTATTAACAAGGTCTGAAATATCGCACACAGTGTGGTTCTCTACAAATGAATTGACTTTATCTGGACACCGCTCTAATTGACGGCAAAGTGAAAAGCACCCGGAACAGGCGTGCCCAAACGGAGCCCTTGCTGAATATGAATGAACTAAGACAAATGTTTGGCTCGTGAACGTTTCCTTGCCCACGTTGATTAGTATAGATACACTATATCTGCCTAGGTACTACGTACCAAAGTTCTTTATTCATATTTAAAAGTTAAATCATGTTTAAGCCTCATTCTTTCTCTAATTGGCTTTAAGTAATTGACAAAAATGAAATGTTGTTGTTGTGTTAAACAGGATTAAGTTAGTTTGGTTCGATTTTACCTTAATTCAAAATTAATTAAGTAACTTTATAATATTACAGAAATAATGGCTTTAGACTAACTGAACACGATGGACTGCATACCTAACAAAATCTAAATTTTGCGTTATCTTTTATAGATTTAAATAGAAACCTACGTCATACATTTACGGACAATCCAATTTATAAAGAATTACGTTTATGACAACCAATAGATTATGGGCCACTGGCGGCCGCCCGCGTCTTTGTCCGCGTAAACTATAGTTTTTTGAAAATCCAATCCAGGTCGTAAACTATATGCGCTACAAACTTCATCCAAATCCGTTATAACAGAAGTAGGATACAAAAAAACAATTGAGTTTGTTAGTTATTAATTTCAGCAACATAACATTTGGATACTCATTATTTTAATTCAAGAGCCATCACGGCCGGTTTAATAAAAAAATTACATCATCCATGATATTTTGAATCAAAGCAAAATTATTAAATTCAAAATCAGCGTTTGTAGATATTAATTTTATTCGTGTATACCGTCGATTGATCATTATAAGTGGGTAGTTCTACAAAGTAAGGAATTTTCGACAGCTCAGCTAAAATGTCATGAAAAAATTGTTACAACCAAGTTTATTTTCATAACATATTGTTTACCAAACCTATATCTACCTAGTCTCTAAAAATAATTTAGATACTAATATATTATCTTAGGAAAAAAAATACTCGGAGACCTTGACGTTTAGCCGAGTTTGTTGCCGGTACGAAAGAGACAAAGAATACCACCTATTGTTTTGCACCCAGTGTGTTCCTTAGTCTTCCCGGCACATTTGATGGACGAAGTCGCGTCATAATCAGTCGAGCTCACAGGATCCTGGTAAGATATTTAATTACGAAATTCATGTGGTAATACAGTAATTGTACCATTTTGATGTATATATTGCTTACACGAAGGCTTAATGCTGCTTGATTTTGGTTGAATGTTATAAATAGACGTTATTTTTAAATATTATTCCGAAATTCTCAGGAACCTGGTCTCAGGATCCCGTCAAATAAATAGCCAGGATACTGAGAAAAATGTAGGATCCTGAGTGTTTATATTGAAATATAATTTTTGTTCAACATCATATGTTACTTTTTCTGCTATATACTATAAAGTCAAAATAATAATAATATGTTTGTTAACATTATTATTTTATTAAAGCTAATTTTGTAGATTTAATGATAAACGTTCCTGTTCAAGACTGATTTAGATAGATAATTAGTATAAGTCAAGAATAGACTTAATTATCACGATAGTTCAAGATATTTGGATAATTACAAACTAATGGTTAGAAGCATAGTTTTTATTTGTGAATTTATTATTAAATAAACGTTGATTTTGATTGATATTTGTTTAAATCCTCAGTCGCCTGATTACAATCTCAGTTTCCTGCTGCTTGATTTCTTAAAATAGCCATAACTCGAATATTTTTGAATATTTTGTCCGTTCCACTTAACATAGGCTAAAAGACCATGTAATCTTTATGATAAACTATATTTTGTAATCATAATGAAAAAAAATCGTCGGGCCGGAATCGGACTCATTTTCGTCCTTAGTTTGTAGAACAACCCAAGTAAGGGCAGAAAGACTATGGAAGTCACGTAATTAAATAAAACTTAAAATAATATTTCACGTCCAAACTAACGAATCCCACTAGCGGCCGCCAGCGACTTCGTCCGCGTTAACTTAAGTTTTTTAAGAATTCCTCATGTACCTAATTTTTTCGGAAATAAATGTCTCAATCCAGGTCAAAATACCATATTTCATCTTCCATATGCGTACCATAATTCATCCAAATTCATTCAGATTGAGTAAAAAACTTTCACATTTATGAAATTTGTAGGACTGTTTTAATCTTTAAAATATTTGT